TGTGTGTGTGTGTGTGTGTGTGTGTGTGTGTGTGTGTGTGTGTGTGTGTGTGTGTGTGTGTGTGTGTGTGTGTGTGTGTGTGTGTGTGTGTGTGTGTGTGTGTGTGTGTGTGTGTGTGTGTGTGTGTGTGTGTGTGTGTGTGTGTGTGTGTGTGTGTGTGTGTGTGACCTGTGTGTGTGTGTGTGTGTGACTATGTGTGTGTGTGTGTGTGACTATGTGTGTGTGTGACTGTGGTGTGTTACATGTAATCAGTTTGTTGATGTTTTCTTTCTCTTTTCGCGAGCAGGATCGTCCTTGCGAGGAGGCAAGCGTGCTGCTTGGGTGGGAGCGCAAGGATGGCGATGTGGATGCTGCTGCTGCTTGTGGGGCTGACTGGTGGTGTCATGGCCGATCAGACCTGTCTGGCTGGTGATATTCAACAGACGGCCGATGCATTCATCATCAACAACACGTTTGGGGCATTGGTCCTCAGCAAGGTTCGTCTCGGCTTGAAACAAGACACCGCCAGCCCGTCGTGTTTGCATGCTGCAGCGCAGGTGTGATGACTCATCGTTCACTTTTTGGGGGGGATTCCGGGGAGTGCGTGCGTAGACCAGTGGGGGCCTCGAGCGTGTGGCAAGCTCTGCTGCAGGTCAAGTTCCCTTGACCACCAGTCGAAACGGTTGTCTGTGGGGCGCGCTCACAACAGATGGCGTCTACTATGGTGCCTGTTCAAGCCTATATGTACCTGCATTCTCCGTCACTGGCTGCCAGCTTGCCATCAATTACGTCCCCCGCAATGCATCGGCCTGCGCACCAACCGTCACAGTCGTGGCTACTGTCCAAGCCTCTGCCAGCAATATCAACGGCCTGATGGTTGATTGGCAGCTCAACGCCAGCGTGCCGTCGTGCTTCACCGGCGAGCTGTCCTCTCTCCTCTGGCTCTCCGATTTAACCATGAACATGACCGAGGTGCAGGAGACCTTTATGCCCTTCCTGCCCGGCGTAATTATGACGGCAGCCAATTTTCAAAACGTTTCCTCCTTCCCTTATAGCAAAACGCAGGATTACCCTGGACGTGGCTGCTTTGCCGACTTGTTCTCGTGGCGCCTTCGAGGCACGGGTACCCACACCCCTCGCTTCTCGCTTTGGGCATTGCCCGATGCTGACAACTGGTTTCGCGTTCATCCCGTGGCTCTGAGCGTGATGGCCAATGCATTGGATGATTGGTACTATCACCGAGCTCTGGCCGTGGCTCTGACAGCAGGAAGCTTCTATCGAGCACCAGTCTTGCGAAGCGTGGTGGGCCCACACACAATTGGTGATCTTGCACTTGCCTGGCGTGCGACCTCCAACATCACCAACCTGCCCACAGCACGGCAGAAATACGGTGCCACTTTTGATGCTCTGAAAAAGATGGTCTTGATGAAGGTAGACGCCCAAGAGTTGAGCCGCCCTTTTGACCAATATCCCGCAGTCATGAAGGTTTGTGGTGCAAGCTTTTGCCCAAGAGCCGTGACATTGACCTTGACCACCTGTCACGAAAGCGCGCTCAAGAACAAACGCAAATCACATCATCAGATACGATACTCCGTGACAACACTTTTGTATGTGCGCCCATTAGAATCACACTATCCGCCCGACACTGGTGCATTTGGTTGCGCTGGAACCAGTCGCGTTTGACCGATACTACCCAGATATTCTCCCACCCAACCCAAACTTTGGAACAATGCAAACCTTGGCCGCTGCCGTTTCACAACTACGTGCATTCAATCACACGAGCATGCCCTGTGGGTGGCCGCTCGTGACAACTGGTGGCCGCTCGTGACAACTCGGACCCTGCACGGCAGGTTTCAAGGCTCTCACCGCATGCTTCACCCGGGGTTCGACTCACCCATAGATACAAATCCAACCTGGTGGGACGTCACGTCGCCTACCGTGACCAACTGGACGCGAGATGTGCGGTGAATTTGGGAATAATCTCGCGATGGTGCACCTTGGGAGATGTTTTGCCGGCGCTTTCCTTTTTTTTTCAAATTCTCGTTCGCATCTATTCATTAGGGAGGCGATTTGACCAGCTTTTCGGCCCTAAACAGCAGCCGTGAGCCGGTCTACGAGTCCTACGGTCCCAATTCGGGTATTGTCAGCGAACCCAATAGTCAGCGTGTTCAGGTCTGTCATTCTGAAGCCATGGGCAAGCTCACCGAGGCAGGCAACGGACCCAATACCTGTGTACCGCCTCGACTGTTGCCTCATGCGAGTGGCATTGATCGTAGGCTCGTGTCTATGCTATGCTTGAGCTCTTCAAAAATGAGATTGGTGTGGATTATATGTTTGAGGACCAGGTACAGTCACCCTCTTGCTGCAGGTGGCCCTGCTCTATTGCCCCTGTCTCTCCACTTATTCCTTTTGGTTGTGTGTACACGCATGCAAATGTATAATCGGCTGTGATGCAACGTGAGCAGATTGGAGCACGCCCCTGGCTGCGCGATTTCAATCCACTCAGCAACCAAATGCAACCGGGTTACCTATCGGCTTGGCTCAAGCACACCCAGGTAACCTGCAGCTCAGTTTGTATCTGGCGCCCTGCAAGAGACGCGAGGTGTTAACCATCGGGCATCTTCTTTCCTCCTTGGCCTCTTCTCGGCCGTTCTCTCTCTTCCTTACCCCGGCCTGCTTTTCTTTGTTGCTTTCGCCACAGAATATCAGCTCCAGCCTCTTTCCGCTCATGACGGAGCAAGGATTTGACAAGCTCCTGGCCTCCGAAGCCAGTTTCTGTGGCTCTGCCGTCAGTCAGCAAGTGAGTTTCGTTGCATCACTCTGACCAAGTGGACCCCTGGCCTGCACAGTGGCTTTTGCAGCTCCTTGACCTCACCTCGAGCTACCTGCAGCTCTCTGATCCCCACGAGATCTTTGGCACGCAAAATTGGTATACCTACCCTTTTACCGCCATGGCTTGGCGGGACGTCGTGGTCAATCGACAGCACAACTTGGCTGGGCAAACCTTTGACAACAATCTTCAGTCAATGAGCTTCAACCTGGCGCATGGTTATTTTTTGTCCTACCAGATTACGCACATCATGAACGATCAGACCTTATGCCAGCTCTACCGCTCCGCCGCCGTCATCCAAGACCGGGTCATCGCCAAATACGCCGAGACCCTTGCTACTTCGTTTGAAGTGCTCGACTACCTTCCCAATGGACTAGCAGTACGTAAAGATAGGGTTACATTCATCCACCGGTTGACACTCTTGAATCAGCAACCATTCAGCGACACGAATGTCTGTGCAATTTGCAGTTGAGCCCTCACGATGGCTGCTGGTGTTTTTGATGTGTTTGTTTTCGTTTTGCTGTGTTTTTTCTCTGCTCAAACTACTTGAACCGTAGGGTCTCACACGAACCAACTATAGCAGCAGTGCGGTTGTGTATCGTGTGGCCACCAACGTGACAACATACAGCGTCGCTGGATTTGCACTGCCAGTCTACGGCTTCCTCGTGGAACAGCCCGAATCCGGCGCGCAAACCATGACAACAACGCAATATCTGGGACGCCCGCTCAATGTGACGGCCGATGCGCCCTACCATATCCTGCACATTGAACCCATTTCATCAAAGATACTTCGCATTTATCATTTGCTTGGCTGTGCCACACCACTGACCCTCGACTGGGCCATACCAGAGGATGGGCACCTCAATGCTAGCGCCTACAACAAGGACGGCCAGGTTGTGGGTGTCCCCAACGTTGACGTCAATTCCACTGCGGGAACTGTCACGCTACAGCTGGCCGCCCCATTCACCGGCGAACGTGCCATTGATCCAACGATGATTGATTTCTACCAACTTACCGTGTCCCCAGCGCCTTGACCCCACACCCACTCCCATATGTCGAGCGCCGTCTCAATTTAGCTCTCTCTCTCTCTCTCGTGGAGAACACAAAGTAATCTTACCTCTCTAAAATGAATTTTTATCCTTTTGTCTTTCTCTCTCTCTGTCTCTCTTCGCTCGAGCGTAAATCGCAGTGATTTTGCTGTTTTGTGCGACTGGTGCTGATTCGATTCAGGTAACCGACTCGTGGTGATAATAAAAGGGCAGCCAGTGCGTGTTCGAACCGCGTACCCCCGATGAGAGAGCACAAGCGTTCAATACCGCTTGGCTGCCATGGGGACCGGCTGTCGGACTCAAGACGACCAGTTTGCGGCAACAATGTAGCGACGGTTTTTTTTTTATGATGAAAGCGACATAAATATCGCATGCTCTCCGCTTTGATCACGATGGAAGAGGCAACCTGGGAGGGTGGGGAGCCGTGAGCAGAGATGGCGGCCGTGGCCTTGCGCTCGAGACTAGACTACTCGCATATGGGGGTGCTCAGGCAGAGATGGCATCCAGCTCAGGTTCTCAAGCTCAAATGCATCTGCTATCTGCTTCTTTTGCGCATGCTCGCCGTCGTAGATTGAGCTGTTGTCAGCTCGCCAAGACTTGCCCGCTGGTCGCTTTGTGGGTGAGCTTGGTGGCTGCTTGCTGAACGTGCGATTATGTAACCTTGATTCCCTCCCAATACGGCAGGTCACTGACTCAACCCTCTTTTTCTTTTTTTTGTTACCTGCTTGCCAGATCCCCCCCTCGAGGCGAGTAGGGGCGGCCCCAGTGTGTCACCAGACGAGATGGCAGCCCATCAACGGGATTTTGCCAAGCTCCACTCGCCCCGCGCCCGCAGTAAGTCATCAGATCGCCAACTTCTTCTCTGCTAGAAGCTGATGCTGACACCCCACCGCCCTCTACTTGCCAACTTCCACAGCCAACACGGCTGAAAAGCATACCGTGGCGGCCTTGTCGGAGATTTCTGAGAGCCAGCTGGTCTCTGGGCGCGCTGCCGGCCGCAATGCCACGGCCAAGCGAATGTTTACCAATTTCATGCCCGAGTAAGTCTGACGCTGCAACTCAAGCTGATCTCACTGACATTTCAACTCTTTGTTTGAAAGCCAAACGTCTCGGTGCCTCGCGCTTTGATCATAACGGTCGGCTCGTGTTCGCCCCTGTGACAGGGGCAAGCACCATGAGCGACGACAGGGCGTGTCACAAGCCAGCAAGCAAAAGGTACGCTTCGCGACCAAAAGCAGGCTCATTCCGGTCATGTTCAGGACCTTCAAACCAAGCGCTCTTCGTGGCCCTGACTTTGTTGTTTGTCGCACACCGCGGCTCATATAGAGCTGGACTTGTCCGTCCCTCTTTTACCAACCTGTTCCTGACTTGGACGCCCTCCTGCTGAATCTGCTGGTACGGTCACTTTGGGTATGCCCCCAAAGGAAAAAACAAGTCAGGCTAACAAACAGCTCAGAATCAAAAGCACTCGTGCCTCACGTGTGGCTGGACACATCATAGCGGAGCAAGGCACCAGGCACTGAAGTGCTAGCCATTCTTGGCGACTCGTGGCGACTCGTGGTAAGATGCTTGGCGTGTTCCGTCATTTTACCGGTCTTAAGTCAAAGCTCTCAAAATCTTGACCGAGGTTTTGTTAACTATGATTCCCCCACCCCCCACCCCCCCCCCCACCCCCCACATAGACCAAGGCCCGTGGCTTGCGGATCGCCAATGCCGGCATCCCCGACCAGCTACTCCGTATGTCTTCGAGAAGGATCCAAGATTACTTCGCCAGACTATGCCAGGCTGTCTTCACACGGAAGATGTGATTGTTTGAATAGAATCCCCCGATCAGAGCCTTGATGGTTGCAGCATCTTCTTGGCCAATTTCCTGAAGCCCTGGTATTTCAACATGCAACCCTCTTGTGGTCCCGTCGTGCTCCTCAAAGACTGATTTCGTGTGTATCCGACCAATGCGCCCCTCACCGTGAACCCCTCTGCTCAGGGTGCGACTCGAGCATCCACACGCACAGCGGCTGCAGAAGGATCTGCCGTCCCCTGGTGTGCTGGCTCAAAGCCTTCAGAACCAACTCACCTTTGAGGTTTGGCTGCAGCATGTCCCATGCCGTGCGCCTCACAACAAGAGTGACTTGGTTCACTCACGCTTCTCGTGCCAATCGGCTCAATCATGACACAGGAGGATCACCAAAAGCCAAAGAAGAAGGGTGGCAACCGTGACTCTGTTGTCAGCACGGTAAGGCAATGGCAAGCAGCCCGTGTCGGCCATAGCTCGGCTCAGTCGTTAAATGTTGCCACAAGCTCCTGCAACCACCGCTGCCGCACGCTGTCGCTCACCCATTTGGACGCTCGGCTTGCGTGGACAGGCATCGGAGGTGAGTGAGGAAGAGCTAGTTAAGTCCAGTGACACTTTGCGCAAAGATCTCTTGCGAAACGATGGTCAGTAAGGCTGACCCACACCCCTTGCATCAAAGCTCCAGAGTTTGGTGCTTCCTCGTGGTCCGAATACCACAGCTTGCGCTGCACGATTGCACTTGCATTCACCCAACCCCTATATATGTGACTCGTTAGCGGATCGCACAGCTGTGCGCCGAGCAGAGCGGGACAAAGCCCGCATTAACATTCTTGATACCGTAGCCGCCCACGGCGAGCCGGTCGTCTCTGGTCAGTGCTTCTGATGCTGCTGGCTACGCCCCCTGATGCCCTTCATCAAAGCACCGCAACTACTCACTGGCTTGCTTGTCACTGGACACAACGCTAAAACAGATCACATTATCCGAGAAATTAATCTTTCGCGAGGAGATGAAGAAGTGCCCGCGCCATCTGCTGAGCGCCGACGTCAATTTGAGGTGAGGCATCGGGCATCTTGTTGCCGAGTTCTGCTTGGCGCAATACGTGCGAGCGTTGACATTCTTAAGTACTCCCTGTGGTGACTTTGGATTTTACATTGTCGCGGGCGGCCTTTTCAGGTGATCGTGGGAGACCTTCACCTCTCTACTGGTGTGGGCGAGCCCCTTTTTGTCCACCTCTACCTCTACGATGCTCGCCAACGCACTCGGATTAGCGAGACGGTGACAGTCATCCCCGACAACGTGACTCGGCTGTTGCGACCTGAAGTTTTGGCAAAGGTCGGTCCCTCGCGCTGAGCTGGCTGGCGCTTGCGAATTGCGCCTCGTGTTTTTCTGACGCATCTCGGCAATCGCCAAATCCACCTTCAAAAGCGTCCCGAGTTTCAGTCGCGTGCAGGTCCAGCTACCGGCGCAACTGCCCTGCTTTTTGAAGCATCCTCCAGCTCGATCATTCTGGATGACGTCTTTGTTGTCATGCGTGTCACCAAGGTGCTTGAAGGCCCAACTCAGCGAGCAATGGATTACTTCTCCAAGGTACAAGTCAAGCAAAGATTTATGACATCTTTGCTGAACTTGCCGTGCGGCATTTGTTCTGATTCAATCTCCTCCATACGTCTTGAGTTCACGCCGCTGGTGGGGCTGACATATCTATACCGGATTTAGCCAACGATTGATACCAAGGCCATGGCCGCCGCAGAAGAGGCCATCTCGCTGCAAGCTCGCTTGGCCGAGTTTTCTTCGCTTCTGGGTTTTGGCGTGTACCCCCTGAGTGATGCCATCAGTGCTGGACGCTGCAGCCTGGACGTGCTGCCGCACCCCGAGCATCTGCGAGACGACGAGATTTGCAAGCTGTGCCACGAAGTCAAGGCCGCTTTGGCCCCAGGTACATTGGCGCCGCTACTCACCAAGCCACAAAAAAATGCGCGGGCCAGTACGGCCCTGATTTGAGCACTCGCACGCCGCATGATTTGAGTTTGCTTGCATGCCACCGACCTGCAGGAGATCGCAAATCCACTCAGCGGCGCAAAAAGCTGGCCATGTCTTTGGAAATTACCGCACGACAAACACTGTATGTCAGCCTACGCCCGTACACTTGGCAACCTCTGTGCCAGGCAGCGCTGTTTCGTACACCATTCATGACCTCATGCCTGTGCTGTACCAACGCATCACAGTGATGGCAGCTCGCACAAGACGTTTTCAGTTCACTACCAGCCCCTTCTTAAGGGTGGTGATACCGAGCGCACTAGTATTGAGGTCAAGGTGCGCTGACGCCACATTTGCAGAAAGTGAACTTTTTTTTTTTTTTTTTTTTTTTTTTTTTTTTTTTTTTTTTTTTTTTTTTTTTTTAACATACCTGCACATCACAACCTGATCTGTACATGGACGTTTGCCCCTTGACGTGGCAGGAAATTTTGCCCGAGGTGGAGGTGAAGGTCTTGTCTCCCAGCGACGAGCTGCCCATCCATCCAGTGTACCAGGAATATAGCCACTTGCTCTACGTATACCCGCTGCTTTTCAATAACAACAACGCCAACTTTCGCAACATTACGTGCCGCGTCGAAGTCATGGATCGCCTTGCCGTTCCCAATCCCACCGATCTGCCGCAAGGTATGCGCCGAGGACTGAGGACGCAACGAAACTTGGCGGCTCCAAAAGTTTAGGTCCTTTGATAAATGATTTGACTAAAACACCAAATTTGTATCCCTTTCCCTGCCTAGGATTAAATGTGATTTTGAAACATGGCGGCTACAAGAGCAACCACTATTACACCGCCGTATCTTACCATGACAAGGCGCCCGAGTTCAACGACGAAGTCAAGATCGCTCTGCCGCACCCCATTACTGAGCAGGTCAGAAAGCGCACGCCAGCGACTGATTCGCCTTTGGGCAGCTTGGCTTGGTGTTTTACAATCTAATTTTTGCTCGCTGGATCTGTCGCAGCACCATCTCTTGTTCACCTTCTTCCATGTGAGCTGCAAGAAGGACGTGGGCAGCCAGCGTCGCATTGGCTACGCATGGTATCATTTATTCTCCACCCACGCCTAGAATATCCTTTGTTCCGCGCCAGGCTATAGCCACATCGGGTCTGACGATGGTGTTCGATGGTTACAGGCTGCCGCTTTACTCAAAGCGCGACTCATATCAGAAGCTAGCAGATGCCGACACGTACGAATTGTCCATCAGTGAGCGCCTCCCCGACGATTACCTCAAGGTACTTCTCTGTGCTGTAAAGTTGGACATCCAGTTTTTAAGAGATGTGTACTCATTCAAGGCCGCACCCCCCAAAATTCGGCTCGACCGTTTAGGCGAGCCGCAACTCAGTCTCTAGCGCTGACTCGGCCAAGGTGTCCTTTCACTTTCGCCTCCAGTTGGCGTCCAGCGTTTACCTCCCCAATCTCTTCTTGCGCAAGTTTTTCAGTTACTCAAGCATCTTTCAGCGTGGCGAGCTTGTTCCACACATCAAGCCCGAAACCCTTGAACATGGTGAGGTCTCAGCCCCTGTCCAAGGCAATGTATCACCTCCGCCTCGGCTCATCATCATGACCTGTGCCCACCCTCTTTTTTTTCTTTTTTCTTTTTTTTTTTAGCCGTGTCAAACATCCGCCGCGTTCACGAGGAGCAAGGTCGTGCTGACCTCCTACAACACCATCTACACTCCATTCTGGACCTGCTTTTTACCATTCTGGCAGCCTATGCCGATCAACGTGCAGCACCCATTGAGCGCCTTCGCGCAAGTGCCTTTGAAACGCTTATTTTCGTGGTTGACTTGATGCATCAAGTGCCGAAGCGAATGCATGCCGATCAACAGTACGCATGGGACTTGCGCTACCACCAGACAGAGGATCACAGATCGGACCTATGCATGCTTATCCCTCACTGTGTGTACCTACGCTTGTGGTTCGCAGAGCTCAATCGCTGCAAATGTACATCCAGCATGTTTTTGATGTTCAAGCCCAGATGCCCCATTGCGGCCTTTATCTCGGTATGCTGGCATGTGTTTCTTTGTCAGCCGCGCAAGAGGAAGGCAGATGAGGCACAACCCCGCTTTTGCTGCACGATGTTCTTGTAGCCGATTCGCACTGTCGGCCAAGGTAGTGAGCCAAGTACGCCAAACCACGCTCACCATCAGCATTTACCCCGACATAGAAATCATGCGTCGCCTGCTTGCGGCTTTGACGGAATTCCGCCGTCAAGAGGATCATGCTGATCAACTGGACCAGCGCTCAAAATCCACCATGAGCGTGCGTCGTGCGGTCAATGGCGTGCTACAGTGTCGTTTTGCTTGGCTCATGTTGTGGCGTTGTCGTACTGGCTTTTAGGCGTGTGTGACCCGCTCTTGGTTTTTCTTCGAGGCCTGCGCCAAAGCCACGGCGCAGCACATTGCTGAAAAGTCTCGGTGCGTTTATGAGGCCAAGGATTGAGAGAGAATGTGCCTGGCGACCGAGTGTTGGTATTTTTGCACCCCTCCTCCGTCAGGCCCGGGAGGCTGACTTCTTGTGAATGTGAATGTGAATGTGCACCTCTTGGCCGTCGTTAGCAAATCGACGGCAGGCAGTGATCAGCAATTTTTCCGCAGCGTGCTGGAGATGCAAAATATCTTGCTGGGATACTTTGTCGCGGTATGGACAACTCCCTTTTGTTTTTGGATTTGCTTTTTGTTTCTTGTTTCTTGTTCTTTGTTTTTACCGTTATTCCAAAGACGAAATCTGTACTCGCTGAACGACTCAAGCTGTTTGGATTTCTGTGCAGCGCCGACCGGCCTCTTTGCAGAAGGTCATGGTCTTCAATGTTGGCTTTTTCTTGCGCAACTTGCTCTACATCACGGTATGGTTATGGTTGCATTCTGGACTTGCTGCCTCATGACTTTCAAAAATTCTTCTTATTTTTTTCCTGGCGCCTGTTCCTACGGTTGCTCTGTGATGTCATGTAATTAGGATAAGGCACCCGTATTCAACTGCGTCCGCAGTGCGTTGGAGAATCTCTATCCTACAAGTGTCCCAGAAGGACCCGATAGCCCAAAAGTGGACTGGTGCGTTTCGGCACAGGGGTCCACTTTAAATGGCTCGCGTGCTACCGGGCATCGTGCGTTCGTGACTGCAGCAAGTGCTCACCGTGTGTGCTGCGTTTGAATGACTAGGGGCATGCTGGCATCGCTGCGCCTCTTCTTCCTGCAAATCATCTACTCGCATGAGCACATCCTGACCTACAATGTGCCCATCTCGGGGTACGCTGCATGTGTTTTGCCTTGTATCCTACACCCCAGGCGTCCACATGTGCGCTTGTGCACAAGGGGATCTGACGTTACACTGTATCGTGCTTTTGACAGAGGCTCTCGCGCCTTCACGCCAACCAAGCGTGCCCGGCGACAAAGCCTGTTTCGAGGCAAACAGCTGCGCGAGGCTGAGACATGGACCTACCCAACCATCCACCACTACCCTGCTGCGCTGCTGCTGACTGAAGTCAGCAACGTGCTTCGCCAAGGGTGAGCGCCCTTGCCCGCCAGCTTTTTTTTTTTTTTTTTTTTTTTTTTTTTTTTTTTTTTTTTTTTTTTCAACAGTGAGCCCTGTTCGAATCTTTGCTCACTAAATCAAATTGTTTGAATCGCTGGCGTTACCTATCAGAAATTACGACTCGCGCATGCATGCCATTCGTCTACTGCATGAAATCATGGAAACGTGCGTGCCTCTTCGCACAACCCCCTTGATTGCGTTACGCTTTATTCAGCTCATTTGGTGCTTGCTGTAGGTTTGAGCACGATGAGCGCTTGAAGAGCCAGTCGGCCCGTGAGCTCGCGGCTTACGTGCATTTTCCTCTGATCTCCATGGTATGCTTAGCACACACTGGTTTTTCTTTGTTGCCCTATGTTTTTTTGTTTTTGTTTTTGTTTTGTTTTTTGGTAACACCTCTTATTGCTGACGTCAATCCGCTTCTTGCGTTTGCATTGAGCGTAGCTTCTTGTGTATGCACCGCTCCAGCATGAGGTCGACAAGATGTACGCACATCTCTTGGAGAACCGATCAGACGTGGCAGAAACGCGCACCACCCGAAAGGTGCGGACTTGTTTTGGACATGTGCTGATCTCTCGCATGGAAGAAACCGCATTGTACATCAGCATACAGTTGTCTTACACGGCGCAATGCTTCGATAAAAATGACATGCAGCTGATGCCATGGGTGGGTGAACCCTTTGAACTGAAGGACGATGAGGTAAGCAATGGTCCAATTTTGTGACTGGTTGCGCTCTCAACATGTGATTTTCTCGTGCTGTCAATCTGATGAAACGCCCTGTGAGATAGGTCCGCGGTCTGCTGGTGATTTTCACGCACCTGGTAGCACGCGTCGAAGATTCGGTGTTGCGCGCCTGGTTGCGCGAGAATCAAAGCGACTTTGACACTATCTTCGCCTTTCTGAAGATGCTCATCGCAGCCATCACCATCGCCACATACCCCGGCGCAGTCAAAGTGGGGGCTTCCAAGGTTGGCAGTCATCAAAGTGTTTTTTTGGTTTCTTGTTCAAGAAGGGGCTCGACGTTCACCTTTGCCGCTATCTCACTCGCGCTTTGCTTGTTGCCTGTCGATTAGCTGGCACCGCCGTCCCCAGCTTTTGGGAATCACTCGGATAGCGATTCGTTGGGTGGGTGGGCCAATGCTGACTTCACGTCTCTTCCCACATGAATCTTTTGTGCATACCTGACTTCGTCTTACCTGTCGCCCATACGTAGGTCGGCCGGCTTCAGTGATCAGCCGCGATGGGCGCGATGTTTTGCATCGCGAAACGCCCTCGGTCGATGTTTACCGCATGAACGCCCTTTTCGTGCAGAATCAGTACGACCAGGGGCTTTGAAGGTCTCGTGCATTGACAACATGTTGATCAAACTCGTCTCAATTTTTCGTGTCATCTTTTTCGCGCCACGTAGGCACAAGCATACAGAAGCCAATACTCATGAGGAGGCGCGTCTGTTGACCAAGGTGATTGCTTCTACTCGTCGTCTCACGGACTTGAGTGACTGGCTGGCGCGTTTGCCTGACATTTGGCGTGCCTGGCCTCATACAACTTTTTTGGGGGGACTGCGATCACTTTTTGGCACAACAGTTGTGGCGCAACTTTTCCACAGAGATGACGCTGACAGCTCTTCAAGTGATTGAGGTACGCGCACGTTTTTTTTCCTAGGGACGCTGTTTTTTAAAACGGCTTGGTCCTAGCAAAATTTGATTTGATACAATTTCTCTTGATGATACACATCGTGCCAAGGTGGTTTTGTTCAGGCTCATTTTCTTGTTTCTTTTTGCTTTGTTATGTGTTTCAACCATGCTAGATTTTCATGTCTGATTTTGAAGAGGAGATGCAAGAGCTTGAATGCCATGCTGAGCTGACTGATCTCGTCTTTGAGGTCTTGATGAAGCTGCTGCGACAGCCGCAATCCGAGTTGGCCCTCAACCACATTTTTCAAACCCTGCAAGGTTTGTCAACCCGTGTTCGGCTGAAGGCACCGGACGTCTAAAGCCTTGCACCGCGAGTTGGCAAACCCTGATGATATCGATCATTGTATGTTTGCTTGTATCGTGCCAATTTGCATGGGCAGTTTTCATTTGCAAGTTTTCGGGCCTCTTGTTTTCGGGCTCAACGCAATTTGCCGCCACCTTGTGCGAAATGGTTCGTGCAACTGCAAGCTTCGCGTGTTTTTGGTCTGGTCTTGATATTGCCTGCACAAGTTCAAGGGGAAAGACGGAGGGACGCCGCGTGGATTCATGTGAAGCCCACTTTCCGTACCCTCTGCCATGCGACTCTCATGCGCCCGTGATGCGTTTCTACCACAGCTTCTTCGGCACTGCAACAGTCCCATCTCCGGGGTTCGCGAGCAAGCGGTCGCGCTCCTGTTTTTGACAATGTGTGAGAATGACGCCTTTGATCGTGGTTTCCAACGCATCAAAGTGCAGACCACGATCGCGCTCTCTGAGGTATATGCCATGTGTGCATGTAGCGAGACACGAGTGTGCTCATGGAAACGAACGCTGCTTACAATCGTGATGCGTTCTCATCAGCAAGGCGGATCGTGCAATATTAATAGATTGTGAGTGGCAGTGATGCGGACTGTGATGCCAGTGATGAATTGCTTCGCAGCTCCTTGGCTACCCTGATTAGCTTTGCCAACCAACGCGAGCTTGTGACATCCCGAGGCGAGGTAGGTCTGCTGACCAGAAGCCACTCACGCCGGAGCATCAGGCGGATCGCACGGCAGCTGAAACAGATTCAATCCCACCCATGGCCCTGACCACCGTGCTCCCTGTTCTTGTTTGGTTTGCCTTAGGACTTTTCCCCGAAAGTCCGATCGTTGGCCATGAACCTGTATCACATCCTGCGCAACTCTTACACCATGCGGGTAGGCGTGGGCTACATTGAGCGTCCTGGTGGATTTCTGCGTCGAATCTGAGCCTTATGCGCGTATTTCGACACATAGATGCTGGCGGATAGCGACGGCCAGCTCGAGCTCCACTACTTTATTGCTCAAGGCTACAAGCATTCGCCTGACCTGCGTCTCACTTGGCTATTGACGCTGGCTGAGCGCCAAGCAGAAAAAAAGAACTACAGCGAGGCTGCCCACGTGCGTGCTTGTCGCTCGGCGCTTGTCTTTGCTTGCGATCGGGTTTTCACGGCGCGCTTTCTTCTTAGTGTGCGGTCCATGCTGCGGGTCTGGTATCCGAGTATCTGATGCTCATCGAGCCCAAACCGGGATATCCGGCTGGCTGTGCGGCCTTTGAGAAAATCTCTACGAACGTCATTGAGGAGAGTGCTTTGGCAGCGCAGCCGGAGCGCATTCAAGAAGAGGGCATCTGCTCGCATCATCTGTTTTCAGATGATGGTCTTGTGGAACTCATTCGTCGCTCAGCTGCATATTTCGAAAATGCCAAGATGTTTGAGCAAGCTGCGCAGGCATGATTGGACACCCTTCCCCCTCCCGGTTACCGGTGACTCCTGCACCAGCCGCCCATAACATGCTTGACCCCCTGCACTGTGATTCCATAGATGCTCTCTTTCCTGATTCCGATGTATCAGTCCCATCGCAACTTCAAGGGGCTGCACGAAGTGCACAGTATGCTGACGAATGTGTACCAGAGCGTACTCCAGGTTAGCTTTGTGCCCGTTTGTTGAGTCAACCGACCATTCCATGGCCTATTTGTAGCCTGCGTGGTGTATATGACGATGTGTTGGCGCGGTTGACAGGCTCAGACCAAGGGTCATCGGTACTTTGGGACCTACTATCGCGTCAAGTTTATCGGCGCAGTTTTCCCTGAGGAGTTGTCTCGTGGCGTACGTACGGGCAAAACCAGATCCTCGTGGGTGGCACCCTCGTGGATGGCACCCAGCTCACGTGGCCAATGCATTCATTTTTGTTGCGTAGGAGTTTATCTACAAGGAACCTTCCCTGACCAAACTGCCCGAGATTTGCTCGCGCCTGGAGCAACTGTACACGACCGAGCTGGGCCCAGGCAATGTGATCATGATCCAGGACTCGCGGGAGGTGGAACCGGCGAAGCTGGATCCGCGCAAGGGCTACATCCAGGTTACTTACGTTAGTCCCTATCACGATGAGCATGAGCTGAAGCATCGACCCACGGAGTTTGAGCGCAACATCAACTTGCAGTGGTTTGTCTTTGACACGCCTTTTACCAAAGGTTTGTTCATCATACGCCCGATTTAAAAGTCGGCAAAGACATATGCACACATACACACGTTGTTCCCTAGCTTTTGGGGGTGGGGCATTGCGCCGCATGGCATAGCTGGTTGGCGCAATCTGACCTGGTCCTCGGTTAGATGGTAAGGCGCACGGTGCGATTGACAAGCAGTACTTGCGGCGCACCTTCCTCAAAACATCGGCGACGTTCCCATACTTGCGCATGCGATTGCCCGTTGTTCAGGTTGGTGACAATGGCGGCATCCTGCTCATGGTTTTGTGACTTTGAGCAGTCAAGCGCTCAGTTTGCTCACGCTTGTCGGAAAACATGCCTGCCTTGTTTCTTTGTTTGTTTGCTTAATGTTTGCCAACGACAATAGTCCCGTGTGGAGGAATTGACTCCATTGCAGTTTGCTGCGGACAGCATCGCTCAGAAAACGCATGACCTTCAAAGCAGCTGCAATGCGGAAACGCCCAATCTCACTTTGCTGCAGCTACAGCTTCAGGTCAGAGCACAGTGGCAGGAGTATCCTATTTGGCAGCCACGCCTGGGCCTGGCACGCCGATGCCTCACACTTGTTGGAATCATGTTCGCTGCTGGGCTCTGCCTATGGCCACAGGGGGCGGTGTCTGCTGCCGTCAATGAGGGCCCGCTGCACATTGCCAAGGCTTTTTTTGAAGGGCCCATGCCGGAGGACTACACTGAGCAAACCCAGGTGGGCGGGGATGAGACGAGCGCGCCGAGATGAGAGAAGCTAGGCCGGGCGCAAGGCGTCTGGTACTGTGGACCAACAAGGGCATCCCTGACTGACGTTTTGCTGCATGGTGCGCAAATGAACGCATTGGTAGTTGAAAAAGCTGCGCCAAGGGTTTTTCAAGTTTCTCAAGGCTTGCGACCAGGCATTGGAACTAAACGAATCAAGCATCAGTGATGACCAGGTGTGTGTGTGTGTTCCTCGGTGTGCTTCCTTGCAAGTGTGCTGTGTGACCGGACAATATATCATGAACAACAAATGACATGTGGAACGCGGTGATTAGCGGGCCTATCATGAGAACATGCAGCGCAACTTTGATACGCTGCGTACGGAGCTGACGGATATTCTTAACAAGGCGTCCAAGGGGCTGCAACGCGCGTACGTGGCGATTGTGGGAAGAGCTGAGGCACGAAGGGGTGCGGGCCCTGGTCTGCGCACGGGGTCGAGCTTACTGATGTGCCGCGCTCGTGTGTGTAGACGAAGCCAGCAGAGCTCAATGCGACGCAGCAACGTGTCGTCCCTGCATTCGGGCATTGAACTGGCCGGAGCACCCCATGCCACAACGGATGTTTAGGGAAGGGGTACTGTTGTGACTGTGTGCATGTGCTTTTGGTGTTATCTGTTAATTATGTCTCGACAGGTGAGTGCATCGTATCGCCCTGCCCATTGGGGTAGCACGCGCGAGATGGCAGGAGGTGTTCAAATTGATATGACGCATCACGCGTCTGCGTCAGAGTCAAGATCAATTCTCTCTTTTGTTTCACCATCAACAATGCGTTGATGGCGAAACATGGCCTATGTAAAAAGACTGGTGCAACAGAATAAAGAGGCCAGGACCGCGGGTCCCTTGATAGGTTGTAAAGGTGTGTGACGGTAGAAAGCAAGGGGAGGAGGGTTCCGTACGAAACACTGCACACCCTAGCGAATAGATGACAAGTGAAGAGCAAGTAAGAACAATAAAACAACAGGGGGGGGGAAGGAAATCAAAAGCCTACCGAGCTCCCAGAGCTCGGGCGTCAACGTCACACCAGGATGAACTGGACAGGCGTGTTTGGGGAAACACGGCATGACATCGACAGCGAAAAACATGGGATGGAAAGAACAACAACAGGCCAAGGGCGAGCTGCAGGCTCCATCCACGTCTGGCCACTCCTCAGGGTGGACCAGACGTTGACTGGGCACGAGCGTCACTGTAAGACGACAACAGGAGACGAGATGCATCTCTAAGACGAGCGGGATAAAAGATGTGTATAACAACAACTGATGGCGATGATCGGATGCCATAGTAAAACCGGAATAAGAACAAGAACAAATAACAAGACAAGGGCGCACAGGCGGGGCATGTTGCTCTTAGTCGAAACTGAGTTGAAGGGAAGCGAGGGCATTGAGCTTGGCAGTAAGTTCATTACAATCAAGACCAGGCACGACGCCGACATGATTGGAGGAGAGGCCAGAGTCCAGGTCATCGTTGGGCAGTTGGGCATCGACGGCATCCTGGAGGAGAGTAAGATCTTCGGAGGAGAGAAAGTTTTCCAAAAAGGTCATGACTTGATCGGGGACGTAAGTTTCGGGGGTATCAAGCTTGGGAAGACCAAGTTCGTGCAGGTCGTGCTCGATTTGGCCAGTGGTGAGGGCGCGCAGTGCGAGGGACATGGTTGAGGCGTCGTGGTCGCGGGCCAAGTGTTGGACGGCGGTGCGAAATTCGGTGATGAGCCAATCATGGCGGGGAGGGGCGTCGAGGGCGCTGTGCGCGTTGCGGCGCAGTTCTTCGAGCACAGTGGGGTCATCCAGTCCGTCGGTGCAGGCGTAGTCAACGGCACAGTCCTGCGCGACATGGACCAAAGGGTGAGAAAAGTATGGGTAAGCATTGTGTATGTGTGTGTGGTGGTGCTGGTGGTGGTGGTGATGGGGGATCGCAGACCCAAAGCTGGGTGTTCATCAACGAACCTCGGCAATTGTCATCATGGCACGAGTAGGCGTCATGCTGTAGCAGTCGGACATGGAAGACGAGACCCTGAGGATACCCTGGGAGGTGGGCGGGCATGCACCGCGGACCTTGCGACGCGGGGTCTGAGGGAGACGAGAATGAGGGGGGGGATGATTGTCACGGCCAGGGTGAGGAAGACCAATGTGGACGGTTCAAAGGCAAGGAGAGGACAGGGGCGCATAACACGCAAAAGATGCATTCAACATACCCGGGGCAGGCTTTGAGCGTGGGGCGAGTGGGAAGCGAGGAGACTGCGAGCGTCGATGGCGGTGGGCACTGGGAGGGAGGTTGAGGCTGTCGCAGCGGGAGAATCAGGGGTGGAACTGGACACCGAGTCCATCATGACCACGGTGTCAAAGGAGGTGGTGGATGAGCTCCGTTGCACGATATCGATGGGATTGGAGCGGCTCTCCATTTTTGCGGTGGGGAGAGAACCACCGGGGGCTGAATTGGGGCGATTGGTTTTGCAAGACGGGCCGCGGCTCTGAGGGGTTGCGGCCTGCTGGGGGGTTTTGGCTTTTGAGCAAGGCGGGTTTCCCGCGATGGGAGCAGAGTGGGCCTGGTTGAGGTGCAAGGAGAAATGAGGCCATGAGACTTTGTTGGTCACAAGAGGAGTGGCGTGGCAAGTGACCCGGCACTCGAGCAAGACGCCAAAAGAGCCAAGGGAGCCAAGGGAGTCAAGGGAGCCAAGGGAGGGGGCTCGACATACCAGGGTGTGGCGAAGATGTCGATGATGAGTTTGATTGTGGGGCAAACCTGTGTGGCAGAGCACGCATGACCATACGGAGAGAACGGCAAGCAAAGCGGCATGAGAAGGAGAGACCCCCAAGAACATGTGATGCATGTCGATCAAAAGACGACGCTGCCATTTTGCAAGTGTGTGACGCATTAAAAAAAAAAAAGGAAGAAGAAGAAGAAGAAGAAGGAACCCCCCTTCACGATGACCACGACCAGAGGTGGT